TATGCATGTATAATCATTCCACATACTTCGTTTTCGTCCATGAGGCCAGTGTCTGCTGTACGTTTACCACCCGTAATGATCAACAATGGGACCCCAGATCCCAATCTTCTACCAGCCTAAGATATAATTATATTCGAGGTTAGGTGGATGTAGTGCTAATTTATAAGGACAAATACGAAGGTACACTACTAAATACGATCTACAATATACAAGTTAGCTGTGGATAGAGAATTCATCTAAAAAACACAGATACATAGGTGTATACCAAATTCCAACACAAAAATGATGAATATAAATGACAGCTTTTTTATATCATCAGATACGTATGTCTGTGTAAAAGGAGGGCGAGCGGAGCGGAGCGTACACAAAAAGCAGAGAATTTGACAGCTGCTGCGAAAATAAGCATCCCTATTTTATCACACTAGAAAATAATTAGGGCTGCGATGTGATTGGCATGGAGGTTTATTGACCAATAATGAGGCCGATCTCAATTTTCAAAGGTGCCAAGGCCGGGGTTTTGGACAAAAATGATCCAGTTTTAGAAAGTTTTTTTTGTTAAAAAGTACTTGTATGAAATCTCTCACAGAATCTTATCAGGAATACTATATGTATGTACATAGGCTACAGGCCTTACAGCAACGTACAATCATAGATGGCTGGTATAAATAAACATACAAGCGTACCTATGTCTATCTAGAGTTATGTGCACTTTAGTTCTGTCCGTGTTCAAGACAAGTATATAGATGAATAACCTAAGCTTTAAGTAAAGCTACAACGAGGGTGTCTAATCTCTCAGCATACAGGATACAACTCCATCACTTTTAACTTCCCATCGCACTGATAATATGCCTATGAACGACACAGTGATGTTTGCGCAAAAATGAAAACTGGTTGAAGAGCGCGGATAGCGCATACAGCCACACAGGCGTATCCACACAAAAAAATACGATAATAACACCTTACCACTATATATATATATATACACTCACTGAATGGGAAACACACTTGATAGTTGGAGAACATTGAGACTCGGAGTGACGTCCATAAGCAATCTTATACGTATATACATCGCAGTTGAAGGGTATATAAATAATCTTGGCATATATCTATTATATATATATATATATACATACACACACACATATATATATTTATATGTATATATGAATTGAAAAAAGTATATATACATATACATACACATCAAGATGCAGAACTCTTCATATAAGAACCTTGCGCACGGCATAGTGCCTGTCGTACAGCAACGCACACACCCACAATACCAAGACGGGCCACAACCACACTGGCAGCCCAGTTGGCACTCAAGACATCAGATTAACACCAGGCCACATTCACACACTATAAATCCGACGCAAACGGCCCCAGCGAGCATGTTTGAAATGACAATGAATGATCCAGCTTTGGGTAGTACGAACACGGTGATACAGAACCTCATGAAGAACGGAGATGTACTGAATGTCAGTAGTTTGATTAAGAAGACTAGTACATCGAGTGGGAAGACGCTGAGAAGTAAACCGTCGGACACGGCACAGTTGGATAATATGTGCGACTTTGTGGGCATGTACGATTTTAAGGAGATTATAGGGGAGGGCCACTATGGGGTGGTTAAAAAAGCAATACATGTAATCACAAAGGTACGTCGAGGATATATGGGTGTAGGCGAGTATCCACTAATCAGATTGCTGCCAGATTGCTCTTGCACATTGGTGTATAACCATTATTTGCAGTCGGTCAGTGTCGGATAGAGATTGAAGGGTACCCATCAGAATTATTTGATGATTTNACTGTATATATATAATCCATATATGTAATTTA